ATGTAATCAGAGGCAATAAATTAAACTCTCTCAAATGACACCTGAATTTCTGATACTGCATGAAAACAGTGACTGCTCTACCATGTTTACCCGGCTCCAGTTGCTGGGATGCAGGACTGTCAGGCATCTGCTGGAAACAGAAGCCTCTGTTCAAGACCAGCTTCTCAGAGTGGTCTGCCGTGGCCCTCAGTCTGGTACATGTGTGTGTGGTACAAGAGGAAAACACAGTAGTGAACATGGCACGTACGTGTCTGTCTCCTCATGCGCCCCCACCTTCCTGGGCACCAGTTTACAAGCAGCCCCAAGAAAGCATTCAGGAGAGGAGACATCTCTGCCCCAGGCAAGGTCACAGCAGTACAGCAAAGCACTGTGTTGGGGAGGAAAGAGCAAAGGAAAGGCCGTATTGGGGGTCAGCCTTCAGCTTCAACCTGTCAAGGAGAGGATGGGGGAGCAAGGGAGAAAGCAGTCACCTTCAGCTCAAAGTGAAAATGGCTCAAGCTGGAGACCACACCAGCCTGAAAAGCAGCCCCACACAACTCAGCAAGTCTTCCTCCCCTGCCCCACCACCCAAACACAGCCTGGGAGCAGACAAGGATTTCATTAGTCTCCCACATTTACAGAGGACACAGATCTGGCCTAGCTCCTCATATTACAGGTTGGCAAACAGGCATGAAAAGTACAAGGATCCAGAGAAGGGTGCAGAGCTGGGAGGGAACCCCGCTCTCCTGGCCCAGGGCCAAAGTTCTGCCTACTCAGAAGCCAGAATAGCATCTTTCATCTTTTCTCACACAACCGCGATGTCTTTTTCATGTTTATTTCTGTGGGAGCAGGGAAAGAAAGAGATGGCCACAGGTCACAGCCTGTGTCTGGGAAACTTTTTTATCTGTCAGGAAAAGGTGAATAAAGGTTTCCTCTGCACAGAAGCACGGACTTAGAGGGCTTTCTGGCCAGCTCTGTGCCATCTTCTGACTGCCTCTGAAACCCAAGCCAAGCTCTCAGGGCCCTCGGGGTCTTTGCACTTCCTCCTCCCCTGCCCAAAATGCTTTCGCCATTGGTGCTTCATGTGGCTGGCTTGGGCATCACACACATCAAAATGCCCTTTCTGTGCACAATGCAGGGGGAAACAGCCCCTCTCATCTCCAGTTCTTGTCTACTACACCACCTTGTTTATGTGCAAAGGGGTTGTGGTTCATCCCTTAGTAACTGAAGTTATTTGCTTAGCCACGTATTTTCTGTCTTTCCACGACCTAAGTCCACCAGGGTGGGCAGCACGTGCCCATTCCATTTGCCACTCTATCTTCAGGACTGTCCAAATAGCCCAGCACTTTGATATTTAAGCATTTGATGAATGAATGAATGAATGAATGAATGAAGCAAGCAGAGTACAAGAAAGTCTCGGGATTATATGACTCAGCTTCAGAAGATGGTTTGTGGTTTGGTTCTGGAACTTTGTGACCTCAGGTGAATCAAAAGAAATCTGAGCTTCCATTTCCCCATATGTAAAGAAGGAACAATAACGATGTGGCTAGCACTTCCTGAGTGTTTACCATCGGCTGTGCACCACACTACACCATTTCCATGAATATCTCACTGAATCCCCCAAGGGCCCCATGAGACCGGTACGATCACTACCCACACTTCATCCATGATGAAACTGAGAACCAGTTAGATAACTTGCCCAAATCTCACAGGTTGGAAATGACAGGCCTAGGATTCACACCAAGGCAGTCCCACCCGCAACACCATATTCTTAGCCCCTGGGTCACACCAGCCAAGTGACCACTAACTATGCTACCACTACGGAAATATCTGGCTTTCTAAAAATCTCTTCTACAAGGGACTTATATTTAATATATAATTTTTTCAGTGGGGTGGGGAGGGAAACAGCCATACATTCTGAGTCTCAATAGATAAGCCTCACCCAATAAAGTCAGCTTTCTGAGTCTCCACTCACTGTCCTGGTGTTCAAGGTCATGTACAATCACCTGGTCCACACAGGGCTCTCTTGGAGACTCTGAGGCTTCCTTTGACCCCACTCCAGACCTCAGATCCATTAGTGACCTGGCTTATAGATCATCAGGACAGACCACAGCCAGGTGCTTCCACGAGGCCCAGAGAGGAACACACCCTGTAATATTCACTTCTGAGACCTCAAGAATGACTGAGATGATCACCTGCAGGTCATTTAAAACTTTCCCGGGCTTTAAATTTTTTCCATTTTGGCCAAAAAACAAATTCAGCCTTCTGTGCCCTCTAACTCTAAACAATCAAGTTCCATGCACTTTACAAGCACAACTTTATTTCCCTCTTAGAGCACCACTATGAGTTGCTATTTGGGATTTGGCATACCCATTGCAAAGCCTCTCTGAGGCTCAGAGAGGTTAAGTAACTTCCTCAAGGCTACACAACTGGTAAAGGGCAGAATAAGGAACAGAAGAACTTTCATTGTGACCCCATAGCACAAGCCTTCTCAACTATATCACAATGTCTCTTGCATGGAAAAATACCACTAAATACCTCCAGCTGGCAACTCTTCCTCTTCTTTATTATCCTCTATGACTTAATTAAGCCCATGCTTGAATATCATTCATTAATCCTATACCAAGTATCCACTGTGTCCCAGACACCATTCTAGGACCGGAGATAGAACAGAGATTCACAGGTTGCCCCTCCTTCACAGAGTTCACATTCACTGAAATCATGGAGAGAAATAATGCAGGTAGGTACCCACCTTGGTTTATTCACATATCATAATGCCTTGAATGTGGCAGACCCTTGATAAACAGATCTGTAAGGTACACAGAGAAAGTGATCCTCACTGAGCAGCTATTCTATGTCAGGCATAAGGCCAGTCATCCCACACAATCTCACTTAATCATAACAACCATCCTATGATCCAAGAATGACTCATTCTCGTAAAGATGAAGAAACTGAAAAGCCATTAAGAATCCAGTCCAAGTTCCCTAAATGTGTGGATTCTGACTCTGCTTCCTTTCCCCAAAGGCCATCATCTCTCTGTTGCACAATGCCATGCATACGAAAGCCTCGGAAACGTTTAGGGCTGGCTGACAGACATTGGTTTATGCACTCAGTTTATTTAAGTGTATTAACATTTAATTACAGAAGAGTGAAAACGAGGCTTCCATAGAGTCAATTAAACTCAGTAACAGCATCCAGCGTTATATAAATCACCAAACTGGTCACTGTGTAGATAAAATATTTAGTGAAACCTGAAGTGTTATCCTAAGTATAGATGGTATGAGGAGCTCCCTCAAAACAGCTCAGCTTTGGCAAATGTGTCTGTGGTTGCCAGACATGGTGTGTTAAATGTGCATTAAATGTGGGATGGAGGGGTTTTAGGGACACAGCACAAAGGGCTAAAGCCCAAACTACCTTTAAGGTATGAGTGGGTCAGTCCCCAAGCAGTGGTGGATTCAGAGTGTGTTGCCGTCTGAGGACCAGGGATGGTGCTGTGGGAACAGCAGTTAGGGCTGCCCTGGCAGGCCACCCTGTTAAATCACTAAGCCTGGGGGCTCTTTCTCTCAAATGCTGACACTTTAATTTCCAGGAGAGGTCAATCTCCCCAAGAAAGAAGCACCCACAAACAGGAAGCAGGCACTCTCTTACTAATCAAGCAAGAGGTGGTCTTTGATGACCATTTCCCAAGGAGATAGCAGGGCAGTCACGGGAGGGGGGGGGGGAACACACATACTCCAGTACCCCAAAGCTCTCTCATCTCTGCTTCTCCAATGCTGGGGAGTTTATATGGCCAGGACAGATGAACACTTTTCTCATCTTTGGATCAGGCACTTGGCAAACTTCCAACTCCATGCACCTTTTTTTTAAATCTATAAATGTTCAATGCAGATGATCCTATGAGCACAGCCCCTCACAGCAAGACTCTACCTCAGGCTAAAACTCTTTGGAACACAACTGAACTTCCAACAAAGCCCCCACATACAAAATTACATCATAGCTCAGGCCCTGACAGGCCAAGAGTGGTAGATGGTCTTGAAGACTGAGGATTTGCCTAGAAGAAAAGAGCCCCAGACTAGACTTGGTTTTGCCACCAGCTGGCTGCATGACCTTGCCTGAGTCATGTTCAGTTTGACACAGATCTGGCTAGAAGCCCCTGATGGCCTCTCTCAGAACCTCACTGCAATGTCTAAGAAAACCCTAGAAAAGGAGAAAACTTCCAGGGGAACTGAAAACAAGGGCTCACAATAAAATGATCACATGCCACGTGGAGGACACTGAAATGGATTTAGAAATGTAAATGGCAAATTACCCTTATGACAATCTGGGCAGAGGCGGGGGGATGGGGGAGATGAACATCATGTACCTGTAATGAAGTAGGCAGACCGTGTGTTCCTCCCACAATGCCAACCACAGATATACACTTGATCTACTAGATAGAAAAGAGTGTCCCTGGCCCCCAACTTGACTAAGACCTATTTTAGACACCTGGAAGTTTCTCTTTCTTGTTGTCTCCTATCCGCAGTCAGAAAATAAAATCTTCAGGGGAAAAAAAAAAGATGGTGAACACACACACACACACACACACACACACGAAAAAGCAATAGAAATCATTGTGAAAACTTAAAGAGCAGACCTCAAAAAATGACCTACCACAGGAATGTGAAATACGCTTCAGAAAATGTTAGCATCCTCAATCAGACAGAGAGAGATCCAGCCCTTGAAACAAGAACAGAAAGCTACAGAGACCAAGATAATGAAAAGACAACGGGACTGAATGACAGATCTATCTGTGGGTTAAGAAAGGATTCAGACAAAGTGAAAATGCAAAAAGCAGAATGGAAACCAACATTAGTGAGAAACGTGGTGGCATGAATGTGAAATTTCTTAATCCCTGGGGATCTCGATACCAACTGCAATGAACTAAACGATGCAAAAGTAGCCAAGAAACAGTAAACATGGAGGCTACAGTCCTACAGTTTTTTTCTCACCACCTTAGAGAATGGGAGCCAATATGGACTCACCCAGAACGCCAAATGTTTTCGTACCACAGAACTCATTCTTGAGAAAACGGCCCTGCATGAGAGGAAGTGGCTGAAATTCCAGAAAACGCAGGACTATCGGCCAGGGAATGGGCTGTGGAAAAGATTCGGCACGCCTGACCTGAACGCCTGCTGCCTACCCCCACCCCTGCGTCAGCAGCATCCAAGGCCTCAGTCGTGTTTGGTTTCTCCCCAGGGGCTCTGGGACCTTGTCTCGCCTGGGAGAGCCCCAAAACTGAACTGGTAAGAGCTAGGGGCAGAATGAAGTAATGAGAAATGGCAAAACAATTTTCCAGGTGAGGACCAACAGCAGCCACTGTAGCAAAGCGATTATGAGAACTGCCCAACTTTTCCCCATCTGGAGCCAGGTGAGAGAAGTTCCCGTGTACCACTAGCACGCACAGAAACACTTCCCAGAGGCGCACCTACTAAAAATGAGCTGGCGCTGGAGCTGGTGGCAGAGAGCCCTCCCACATCCTCCAGGGCGCTGGCCATTAGCAGCTGCAACTTCACTAACAAGAGAAAAGCAAAACCGCATCCCAGTCATGCTGAGAACCCATGGAAGATAAGCATCTTGGACCCCAGCCATGACCATGTGACCTTGGACAAGCGAGTTAACCACCTGGAGTTTTAATTCTCTCATCTGTAAAAAGATAGCACTATATACATATATACTTGTGTGTATATGTATACAATATATATATACTGTACATGTTTATGCATATACGTACACCACAAATACTATGTATGAAAAATACCCCATTAGCCCAAACTACATTTCAACTTCTACTTGTCCAGATCCCTAAAACGTCTCTGACTACGCCCAAAGCCACACTTCCAACCCCCAGAAGGAAAGTATGACGAAGAAAAAGTTGGAGAGAATCCTATACCTGAATTGCTAAGATCCAGGGGCAGAGTGAAAAGCAATGGAAAATGGCAAAACAATTTTAAAACACTGTCATTAAAAATTTTTTTTAACTATCTTATTACTTTTGATAATTTGATAAAATACATAGGACTATCTGAACCTATATACCTGAACCCTGTTGCCAGGGCCTCGGAAAGGTAACAGGACAGTGAGAGACTCTCCGTGGCTTCCCAGGTAGAGGGCCCTGAAACTCGCTCCCGGGACGCATAAAGGGGCATGACACAGTGCCTGGCCCCAGAAGCCATCAATATCTTTTCGTGCGGCAGTGCCACATTGCAGATGGAGGCGTGTGTGACGTGTCCAGCACTTACGACCCTCTCCCGCACCTACGTGCCTGCGCATCTCTCCTTCCAAACAGCAGACCTCAAGCAGGAGATGGGGAGTGCCCTGGAGGGCAAGACCTGTGCCATTCACCAACAGTTACTTTCATACATTTTTGGATTTTTACCTTGGGGAGTCAAACATTCAGCAACTGTGCTAGAACACATCATTACCCTCCGTGGCTCTGGCAAAACACCGTAATTCAGACATTTGTCTTATTTGTTAAAAGATGCAGAGGCCAATGAGTATTGCAGACTGTTGTTAATTTTCCCAATCCTTTCCCTTTCTTATCTCCCTTGCAGCTCCCTGCACGCCTCAATCACACCTTTGCACCTTTCAGCAGATACTGATATGGTAAAGCTGGTTACCTTACTCCCTTCAATCCCTGTGTTTGGTTGAAGGGATTTCTCCCAACTAGCCCCAGGCCACATCAAGTGACACACCCCAGACCTCGGAGTCCTGCTGCACACTGAGGAGTCTGAAACAGCTTTGGTTCAGATTTCACTAGAATTACCCTTCATCTCCACCCAAGAGCTTTTACATGGATTTCTCTCTCCACAGTCTGGGAGGCTCCCTCAAGGCAACCCTAAAGAAATGGAGCTCTGCCCTAGTCAGCAACACCTGCACACCAGGAATTCCTGGGGAGGGAGCAATGCGTTGCACAGTAGAATCAGTGGCAATTTTCATATTCTCCTATATCGCTTCCTAGTTATTCAGGAAATAATAAATATTACAAGATAAGGCAGGCAAAGTCTGTTGGCTTCCTTACTGAAAACAGACTACAGAAATGATGTTGACGGAGGGTGGGCTTAAAGGAGCTTCATTCCATCTACTCTCCAGGGAGTCTACAGCTCACTCCAAGATCAAACCCACCCAATCACTGAGAGCAACATGCTGAGGCTCCACACTGCTTTGAGCCTCTGGAGAACTCCCTTAGTATCACAAGAGCATAATTATGAAGCCACTACAGAAAATAAATGAACATTTATTAAGGTGGAGGGGATTACAGAACAGTCTTCTTTGAAATTAATCACAGAAGAACATTTTCTTAAATCATAGTCCTTCCTCCAAAACAATCTAGCCTATTCATCTTATGCACTTTGTGAATCTTGGTGTACATACACACACGACCTCACAGAATTTCTTAGGGGAACTAGCAGAGGAAAACATGTAGAGCCTAGAAAAAAGTCTAGCACATTTTAAGAGCTAAATACATAATAGCTATTTGTTATTAGGAGTAGAGCGCCTACAAGATGTATTCATATTTTAACAACACATATTTTGACAAGTGACAGCTTTTGATCACTATTAACTAGGGACTATTCTGCTTACCCTTAAGTCACACATATTCAAACTTCCTGTTGGCACCAGTGTATTTAACAACATGGCCTTTTTTTGGTGTCCTTAACAACAGAAAGGTTTGTACATTATATAGGTGCATCATATACACATTTATTTATACATGAAACTCTATATATGCATCTATGTTAGGTTTATTAGCTTTATTCTAATTGCAAAAATATATTTTTACTGCAGATAATTTGAAAAAAGTTAAGAACACAATGCCCTCTAAACTTACCTCTCCAAGAGTCACCGCTGTTCATATCATGATCAACAGATTTTGAAATTTTTTCCCACTGATATATATACTTATTTTCTAAAAACTAAAATCAGAACCAAAGCCAACATAAAGCTTTGAGGCCCTCTATTTTTTTTTTAATGTTTATTTATTTATTTTGAGAGAGTGAGCTCACAAGCAGAGGAGTGGCAGAGACACAGAATCCCAAGCAGGCACTGCACTGTTAGCACAGAGCCCCACACAGGGCATGATTTCACATTGTTATACCTGCACCAAAACCAAGAGTTGGACACTTAACCGAGCCACCCAGGTGCCCCTGCAACCTATTTTTAAAGTGCATTTCTAGAACGCGTGGGGTGGCTCAGTCAGTTAAGCATTGATCCCTGATTTCAGCTCAGGTCATGATTCTCGCATTTCATGAGTTCGAGCCCCATATCAGGCTGTATGCTGACAGTGGGGAGCCTATTGAGATTTCTCTTGCCCTCTCTCTCTGCCCCTCCCTCGATCACCCTGTGTGTGTGTGTGTGTGTGTGTGTGTGTGTGTGTGTGTGTGTGTCTCTCTCTCTCAAAAAATAAATGTAAAAAAGTGCATTACTACATCAGGAATGCTGTTCACAAAACATTTTTTAAATCTAATTTTAATGGTTGCTATCTTGCACGCCCATAATTTACTCAACTAAATCCCCTTTTCTTATTTTTCTTGTTTCCTTAATTTACTATTCATAAAGCAAGGAGATAAACTTTAGGACATCTCCACATTTATTTCCTTAGGAATTTTTTTCTGAAGGTTGAATTTCTGGGGATCAAAGGGCATGCATAATTTTATGTAGTCAAATCGCCTTCCAGAACAGCTGCTCCAATTAATACTGCTATCTGCAATGTGTACAACTGCTCATTTCCTCTCCATCCTCACTACTAAGTATTGCTGTTTTTAATCATTGTCAACTTAACTGGTGAAACACAGAGACCTATTGTTTTAATTTGAAGTTACTGAACTAGGTGAAGTTGTATGATTTTCATAAGCGCAACTGGCCACTGGCATTTCTTCATTTGTAAACTGCCTGTTCATATCCTTCACTCATTTTATGATTGAGCTGTTTATCCATTTTAACCTGTAAGTACTATTACTATAATAAAGACCAACTCATTTTCTCTATTCTTAGTTATAGACATTTCTCTAGTTTCTTTTCACCACTGAATCATTTCTGACATATGGACAGAGCTGAGTATAAAGTAAATTCTGTAAAGCATCTCCCATTCTGGCAGAATTGCCTACAGAGAATATGTGATACTTTGGTATTTGATACTGCACAAAAAATAAATATTCACCTGTATCAGCTTTTGATTCCCTTGTTAAATTATGAATACATTTAAATCTTTAATTCATCTAGAAATAATTTTAATGTATAATGTGGCATATGAATCTAACTCTATTTTACTTTTTAAAGTATTTTCATTTTTGTTCTAGCACCAATGAATAATCCATCAACTCCTTAATACCCACCATATATTAAATGCTTACATATACATAAGTCTATTTCTGAGTTTCTAGCTGTTTCATTGATCTACATGTCTAAATATATCAGTAACATACTGTAATTATTATGGATCTGAGAATGGCATACTTAGCAGCAATGCTAGAGATTAGTTCAGAAAATAGACCGAGTTTAAATTACTAACCTATCTCTTACTAGTTAGATGGCCAAGGGAAAGTTTGTTAATTTGGTACTTTAGTTTTTTCATCAACAAAACATCAGTTAATAATCATTTTTTCCTAATGTATGGAGGTTCCTCAAAAAATTAACAGTAGAACTCCCCTATGACCCAGCAATAGCACTGCTAGGAATTTACCCAAGGGATATAGGAGTGCTGATGCATAGGGGCACATGTACCCCAGTGTTCATAGCAGCACTCTCAACAATAGCCAAAACATGGAAAGAGCCTAAGTGTCCATCAATGGACGAATGGATCAAGATGTGGTTTATCTATACCATGGAATACTACATGGCAATGAGAAACAATGAAATCTGGCCATGTGTAGCAACCTGGATGGACCTTGAGGGTGTTAAGCGAAATAAGTCAGGCAGAGAAGGACAAATACCATATGTTTGCACGTATAGGAGGATTAGGAGGAACTTAACGGAGGACCGTGGGGGAGAAGAAGGGGGGAAATGGTGGGGGAGAGGGAGAGAGGCAAACCATAAGAGACTCTTGAATGCTGAGAACTGAGGACTGATGGGTGTGGGGGGGAGGGGGGAGATGGGCATGGAGGAGGGCACTTGTGGGGATGAGCACTGAGTCTTATATGGAAACCAACTTGACAATAAACTATTTGTAAAAAAATCATCATCATCATCATTTTTTCATATGGGGCCCCTGGGTGGCTAAGTCAGTTAAGTATCCAACTCTTGGTTTCAGTTCAAGTCTTGAACTCGGGGGTTGTGAGTTCAAGCCCCACATTAGGCAAAAAAAAAAAAAGAAAAAAAGAAAAAATCTCTTCCTCATAAAATTATTGTGAAAATTAAGTTCATGCATATGAATACTTTGAACAATGCCTGACATACACGGAGCACTCAATGGTAGCCATTACACAGTGTCCTAGGACTGCTGTAAGAAAGTACCACAAATCAGGTGGCCTAAACAATGTACTGCCTCACAGTTCTGGAAGCCAGAAATCTGAAACCAGCATGTTGATATGTAGGGCTTGTTCCTTCTGAGGGCTGAGAGAGAGCCTGTTCCATGCATCTCTTCAACTGCTGGTGGTTTGGTGGAAACCACTGGTGTCCCTTGGCTTACAAACGTGTTAGTCCTATCTGTTATCGTGTTCACGTGCCATTCTCCCTGTGTCTACGTGGTCTTCTCTCTGTACATGTCTCAGTATCAGAATTTGCCCGTTATAAGGACACCAGTCTTAATGCACTAAGGCCCACCCTAATGACCTCATCTTCACTTGGTTCAATCTTCAAAGACCCTATTTCCAAACAAGGTGATATTCTGAGGTACTGAGGGTTAGGACTTCAACATCTATCCTTTCAGAAAACACAATTCAACCTGTAACCACCATTACTTATTATACCTTGATGAATGGAAGTATTAAACAATTTAGTCTTAATATCAATGTTGACGTCAATGTTCCTAAATTTTCATAGCAAATGATCACATTAGCTTAAATTTAGAAAGAGTGTTGGGATTTTTTTCACTGTTGTTGTTTTTGTATTACAAGGGTTTTTCTCTCAATTTCTAGGTGACCAAAGCATTTCATGTGTTGGGTTGCTTGTTAACTTTTAAACCAGAATAAGCGTTGGATTTTATTAAAAG